AAGGACCGTATATTGGGATACGTGAGTCCAAGTAACCACCCGTACGGACCACATGCTGTGGATGGGGTCGACAAGCTGAGTAACTAATTGCGACCTGTTTATCCGTGAAACTGGCAAGAGGGGTAACGCCGGTCGGGAATGTCTGGGACATTGACCGGAAACCCAGTCGAACCTTTCATATCACACTTAGGTCAGATTAGGAAAAGATTGGAGAGCGTGAGGCAACCCTTACCCGGGCACGGGTATGGAGGTTAGTCCCTATTTCCGTGTGGGTACAGTTATACACCTCTGCAGAGTTTCGAAAGCCTGAAGTCCTTCGGGGCGGAACTATTCGGTTGTTCTTTCTTTCTATACCCATGGTAGGATGGATGATGGACTATGAGCACCTTTGTTATAATGATTAATACCTTAACAAAACTTTTTTCATCAGCTATATGATGTAGCACATGGATTGAATTTAATAAAAATTTAGCAACATGGCTAATTAGAAATCAGACATATCCACTACTCTACCTTACATGTATGATAAATTATTGCGTGTAGAAACAAATTACTACGATATGCAGATAGTTTATCAGGAACACAATGTGGGATATGTTATAATTCTTATTTTGTGTCGATATTATAGCATCTGTAAACATAATTGAACCTGACTATTTGATGGCTGCATTCAAGAGAATGGTCTGGGGACTATGAACTATTAGCACATGCATTTGCATCCATATATATCATTAAAGAAACTGTATGCCATAATGGCAGAAGAACTACAGGGCAATTATAAAGCAGACGATACCGTGAGCAATGTGCAGCATCGTACCAATCACAATAACATGGATACATGCAAACCTCAATTGGTTGTAAAAATTTGGCTAGTGACTCAATATAAGAAGTGTCCCTAAACGAATAGCTGAAATGAGCTATTATGTACAACGAATTAAGAAGATTGTAATAATGCTAAACTGCTGAACTTATTAAGAAAAACTAACTGTTTCAGAGCACATTTAATAAACACTCTACAATTACCTTAAATCTACATCCATAGCCTTCTTAGAGCGTGTTTGATGCCACGCTGCAACTCACGGCGGCTATAGAAATTAATAGCGCTGTTTTATTATCTCTGCTGCTGCTTTTCGGATATTTCTAATTGATGTAAACCTGAATAAAATATGAAAGGAAACAAAAGGTATGTTAGTGCTTCACGTTTTTTTGGTTTTTTAAATGCCAATAAAAGTGTACAAGTAAATTTAGACTGGGATTTAATCACAGGTGCTCTCCAAAAATCCATATAGTAGATGTATAAAGGTGATAGCGTTCCCAAATTGCATCTCCTTGGGTCACTAAAACTTGTGGCCTAATATCTGGTTGTGAGGCTTTATGTTATGATCGTTCAGGCCCCGTTCGACTTGCTGAATCTTGGCTGAAACTGGCTGAAAAATACTGTTCTAGCTGAATTACTGTGAGAGAAAAACATTGTTCCGGCTGAAAAAACAAGCCGAACAAGCCAGCTTTAAGGTAAGCCGAACGGGGTGGGTTATCATCCATAATTCCGACCCCATTTTATCCAGCGAAATATCAACCAATTCATATAGAAGGCTTTATGTTTGTACCAATTAAATGAAGTTTCTTTACCTTCATACCTTTTCAAAATTATAGGGTCACTTTCATGTTGATCCAACAATGCCAACTGCAATCGAAAAGTATTAGCATGAATGTAAATGTAATATACAGTTTGTAAGAAAGCAAGTAAGGATGCGCAATAAGTAGTCAAGTACCCTTGGAGATCATTGAGACATTTAGTCGAACAGGATGGGTGCACTGAGCTTTACATGACAAAATTTGCAGGTTGTCTTGCTTCCTCCACCATTGCGAATTGTGATTTAGGATGCCTGAGGGGCAGCAGGGACAGGAAGAGACGCGGGGTCTTGGTGCCCACGTAACCGAGCCGTTCACTGTGTTCCCCTCCGCCCCTCGTACATGGCTTCGCTACCCCGCGCTCTTCCGTCCGCTCGCATCTCGCTGCAGCAGGTAACGAGTGCAGCAAGAGTGGGCACCAAAGATCCCGAGCAGCCGCCCTGCGCGCGGGAGGGGAGCAGCACTACGACTGCCTCGACGGAAGCGCTGACGACGCTTGTTTCATGGCCGTCGCGACGGACAGACCGCCCTGCGAGCTGCCTTGGCCTCGTCCAGGCTCGCGGAGGCGCCCGCCGTGTTCGAGGCCATGGCGCCCCATGCGCGGCGCTCGAGCTTGAGCAAGAGGTGCCTGCGCCCGCCGTGTTCGAGGCCGCGGCACCCCATGCCCAACGCTCCCGGCGCTCGATCTTGAGCATGAGGTGTCCCGTGTCCGCGTTGTGACTTGTGAGGGCGGACTGCGGAGGCTGCAAAGGGCGGACGGAGGCGGTGGCTAGAGCGATGGACGCGAGGAGTCTCGAAGGCACGGGAAGCGCTAGCTGCTTTCCGACGGCCTGATAGAAATCTCACGGCCGAGAAAATGTAGGCGACGTGGCCCAATCCCTGCTCGGGAATTGTCCGCGAGTTTCGTCACGTAGAGATGTGGTGTTAGTGTTACAGCTAACTGAGCTTTGTAATGCTTTACCCGTCCAAAGTTTCTTTGAGCTGCAACATTCGGCTGCTTGCTCTTTGGTAATATAGTTTGTTAAATTAAATCTGGAAAAGTCAGCTACGCTTTAGAGTCTAAATCCATGTGCCAAACAATCCTTGTTTCCAGTCTCATCGTATGAGTTTTATCTGACGAATATGAAAGCATGCCTTGTCTTCTTGACGAGTCGTTGTGCTCTGAAGCCCTTCATCCGCAATAGCAAATTGACGAATATGAAAGCATGCCTTGTCTGCTTGTTGACACGTGCCTCGCCATGCTCCAGGGAGACGGAGATGTCGATGACCTCTGCAGCTGCTGCAGCTATGGTTGGTGGCTCGAAGATGTTGCATGCATGCATATCAGAGCAAAGTAGCTAGGGGTTCAGGCTGGTTGCAGCACAGCTTGCGCCGATGCCCTGCCGGCTAAATAATATAAGGTTAAAAATTGCACGGCTGACCTGCTAAGCCCTAACTGCCGCCCTGCCGGCTTGTCGCGCTGTCATTGGAGACCTGGCCGGCTGGCTGTGCGCCCGCGCTGGAGACCTGGGTCGTCACCTGGGCGGCCACTGCTTGGAGGATTCGAGCGCTGGAGATCTGGCCAGCTAGCCATGGGCGTCCGGGAGGCAAGCAGGCAGCGGACCTGGGCGGGGAGGGGTGGAGGGCGAGTGTTGAGTGGCGGCGACTGCGAGCGATCTGACCGAGCGCCGAGCGGGGAGGGGTCAGGCGAGCGTCGGGCTTCCAGCCCCCCGTGAATCCGCCCCTGGCGGTAAGTAATGGATAGCTTCCCGGATGATGTATGCAACTGTTGCTGATGCGTTGAATTGTTATATATGTGTAGGTGGTATTAGTGTTACAACTGAGCTTTGTAATGCTTTACCCGTCGTAACACCTTAGAGTCTAAACGGCTTAGATCTACGTTACACGTCGACTCTAGAAGCCGGCTCAACGTAAAATAGTTAAATTTGGGGATGGTGTGACACTTACCACCAGCCTACTTATGATTTCGTCCTTGGCTCGTGTAAAATGGTTAAATTCGGATATGGTGTGATAAACTCTGGAAGCCTTATGGGTGTGCTTGATTTCACCATATTGCTTACCTAGCCTTGCCTGCCTAGCCAGGAGAGCCAATTTGGCTCTCTCAGGCTAGCGAGACAAAGCTTGCCTGCACAAACCCCAAGGTAGTTAGGCACATATCTTCCTCAGCCAGCTCAAACAGTACATAGCTAATGGACCAAGCAGCACCTATATGTTGGTCTAACCCATATTTGACAACCAAGGTGATACTAAACCCTCATAGTACCTCATTAACATGCATATGGACTACGGTGGGCCAAATTTCAAACTAGACCAGATGTCACACCCGTCCAAAGTTTAGAAATGAGACAAGGCATAATATACATAAATTAAAATCTAAGTGATCAACAAGTTTATTTGAACTGCAACATTCGGCTGCTTGTTGGTAATATACTAGTTCGTTAGAAAAGTCAGCTACACTTTATAGGCTAATCCATACGCCAAACAATCCTTGTTTCCAGTCTCATCGTATGACAAAAATGAAAGCATGCCTGTTCTTCTTGAGGGGTCGCTCTGGCATGAAATCTTCTCTGCAATAACAAACTGGATGAAGTAAGCAATAATGGATCCAATTAGAAAAACTGAGACATCTTACATGAAAATGAAGTTGAAACATATGTATATTTGATTGATCATTCATATCATGTATGGATTAGTAATTCATCGTACATAGTTAGGCCTTGAATCCGTCATAGTTTATTTTCTCCTTTGCAAGCCGTCATGTGTTTTGACTTGTGGATGTGTTGTTTCCATGCACCTCTCACTGATGGCATAAGAAAAAGTGTACTTTTTTTTGCGACAAGTGTACTATGTATGTGTATAATTTTCTTGTTACATATTTCTTTCGTTCCAAATTGTAATTCGTTTTAGTTTTTCTAGATATACTTTATGTCTACATATCTTCTCTTCTCTACCTCTAAAATACTGTAACATCATCGTCTACCAGTGATACCAAGTCTCGATCCCTACTCACGTGTCCATGCCTGATACAAATCATCCTTCACTTGGAGCTCACACGTCTATATCCTACCTAGATCCATGTGTCTACGTCCGATACGAAGTCCTCAGAGGTCAAGTGTTCGCGTCCGATTATTGAGGTCCAGTTCAAAAAAATATAGCCTGGTACAACACACAGGCATATATCTAGTGCATAGTAAAATCTGTACCATGGAGAGAGTATTATAATTGACGTTGATGACCCGAACTACGTGCAATTAAAGCCATTTTTTTTAGCAAATGCAAATAAAGCCAAATGATTCAAATCATTTTGCAAACGTGATGTAAGTATGTAACCAAACTGTATAATCGATACAAGCCCACAACGATGGGCCTTACTCATGATGGGCCGTATGAAGACGCCGAAAGACAGTTCTCTCATGGGCTGTGCCGTCCGCCCGTGACTGGACGGGCCGGCCAGCTGGTGGACATCGCCGGCTCGAGGGACGAGAGCTGTCGTCGGCCGGCAGGAGGCTTCGGCAAGCCGGCGGCGGTGGCACCTGGCGGAGCCTCTCCATAAACATCCAACCCCGCACCCAGTTTCCCCTCCCCGCCACCTTCCCGTACATCCGCCTCGCTCGCACGCACCTCCGTCTCTTCTGCTCCCCTTTGCGCCCCGCTTTGCCTCTTCTTCTCAGACGCACCTGGCAAGCTAGTTTCTGAAGTACTATCATTATTTCATCATGTGCTATTTCACTATCCAAAATATCCCAGAGCTCGTTCTGGTGGAACATCTGTATGAAAGTATGGGATAGTGCTCTCTTTTCATTAGAGGTATCGATGTATACAACCTTCTTTCTTGTCATTAACTCTAAAAGAACAACCCCAAAGTTGTATACATCACTTTTGTCACTTAGACGGTGACTGACAAAACTCTCAGGGTCAATATAACCAAGAGTTCCTTGGATAAGCATAATGAAATCATTTTTGTCCATGGACTTCAGTGCTGATGCTCCAAAATCTGACACTTTTGCATTGTATTCTTCATCCAAGAGTATATTAAGGGATTTGACATCTCCATGCAGAATTGTGCGAGAAGTTGATGAATGAATGTAGGCAAGAGCTTCGGCTGATTGTGTAGCAATCTTCAATCTAAGATCCAAAGGGATTGGTGATCTGCTTTCATTAACATGAAGGAATTCAAAGAGGGTACCGTTGGAAATGTACTTGTACACCAACATTGGCACATCTACCTCCAAGCAGCATCCTAGTGGCCTTACAATGTTCCTATGGTTAATTTGTGATAAGATTATTATCTCATTCACAAATTCTTCTCTGCTGTCATCATCCTTTAGTTTGGACTTCTTTATGGCAACTTCTTTGTTATCATCTAAAGTTCCTCTGTAGACCATTCCATGACCACCACATCCAAGAACATTATCTTCACTGAAGTTGTCTGTGGCTTTCTTTATCTCGTTCTCTGAGAGTATGAGAACGGTATCAACTTGCCTTGATCTCATCTCATCATATAATCTTAGACCCCCATTTTGTTTGAAATATTCATCCTTCTCCTTCCTATGCTTACTTTGTTGTAATTTCATAACCAATAAGCATGTCAAAGATATGACTAGAACTGCAGAAGCACTAAGACCTGCACAATGGTTACTCTATATGCTTTAGTGCCTCAAAACCTTGAAAAAAATACCTTAGGTTTAAAATTTACTCTCAGTTACGATCCTTACCTATGACCACCTGTTCAGCTTTGCTAAGCACAGGTCGGCACCCAGAATTTGTACCATCTGATCTTGTTCCTATCCTGCACTTGCATATATAGCCTCCTTGTGTATTGCGACAGCGCCCATTTTCGCATGGATATAGCTTTTTGTACCTAACGTCCTGCTTACGCAGCTTGCACTCATCTATGTCTGAAGGGAGTTAGAATTTAAAAATATGTTAATATGGATCAAGAAAGTATTTCAGTGTATGAAGTATCCTAAAGATATCTTGGACAAGTAACAAATAAGTTTTTGAGCTGTGCTTTCAACGACAAATGGCGTGTTCGGCTGGGGCTGGCTGACTGGCTGGGCTGACTAGCCCGCTCACATGGACACTATTCACATGAACCAGCCAGCAGTACTTCTCTCTCACATAAATGAACCAGCAACGATACGAACCGGCAGTCGCAATGGGATTCTCGGCGGACGACGGCAACATCGAAATCTCAACACCGGAGCTCGTTGAGGAGGCAATCGCCGCGGGCTACACCGTGGAAGACCTCTTCAGGGCAGAAGAAGCGCTTGGATCAGGTAAAACCTCGGCAGATCGCCGTGCTCCTCTCAAACTGGTGTCCGATCTTGTGCAACGTAAGGGTGCCGGGAAACCATGGCAAGGCCCTCTACCCGCTCCTAGGATTTCTCCTCCGAGAACTCTAGGGGACTGTGGTTGCTAGCAAGCGATGACCAATGGCGTAAAACCCAGACGGTGAGGTCATCGGTGAGTTCGCCGTGGGCTTCATGGTCTCGGGAAGAAGGATCGAGTTTCAAAAAATTGAATTGGAGGAACCCCAAAGGTCAGTGATCCTCGATTTTCCGCCTCTGTCTACCGGGTCCATCTCCTGCCCATGACGGCATCACCGCATAAGACGGAATCTGGATCGGTCTCGGGAGGGAGTGAATATGGAACAAGGCTTACCGGGATTCCAGAGAAGGGTACAAATTGGGCTGGAAAATATTTTAGGCCCACCCGTAGGGCAGTGTTTTTCCTTTTGCAAGGACTGGAACAAAACCTAGAACTCACAGCCGCCACAGGCAAAAGGTCGTCTTGTCATGGGCGAAAAGAACCTTTGCCGAGGTGGTGCTCAGGGGGGAGGTTATGGCGAATCAGGGAGGCTACGGCAACCATGGTGCGCGTGGTGGAGGTGCCCCGGCGGCTTTCAACCCGGGATTCAACCCAGGATTTGATCCGGGGTTTGGAGGCAGAGGTGGTGGCCATCGTGGTAGAGGGGGTTTCCAGTCAAGTGGCCGAGGTCGCCGGGGACGTGGTCGTGAACATGGTGGATTTGATGATCGCGGACATGGTGGTTTTGGCTACCATGGTCGCTATCATGGTGGACATCACAACCATGGCCGTGATGGGTGGAATCACGGTGGAGGTCGCAATCATAGAGGCGGTCGTGGCTGGGGAAATCATGGCCATCACCATGGGGCGCCGGGTTTTCACGGTGGCCATCCCAACGCCGGTGACCATGGTCATGCCACGTTCTAGCAGGGCGGTTTTGGGCCTGGTGGTCATGTCGCTGGTGGCCAACCGGTTCTACCGGTCGCCGGTGCACAGGTCGGAGGACAACCGGGGCGAAGCGGCATTGCTTTCTAGTCACCACGGGCGGCTTGGCCTTGATGCAATCAGCCTCAACCGCTCATTGAGGCCTTTTCTGCATGGTGCACAGTACCAGCCTGGCCGGTGCTCAAGAACAGATGGTGCCACAGACCACCGGTGCTCAAGACCACCAACAAGTCGCACCATCAATCGACCGGCAAGGCAACAAAGTAAACCATCGTGTCCAGGCGGGGCTCCAAATGTTGTTCAACCGCTTGTCCAACATCGAGATAGAGGACAACCAAAGAATAGCTACCTCAATGACAATTGTGCCTACTAATGTAAGAGCCGGGAGGGCAAGTTTTTGCTATTGAAACAAGGAAGGTGAACACCGCTCCCCAAAACCCTACTTTAGAAGTTCCCGAGTCTTCTCTCGAGAGGTGCTAATAAAAAACAAAGGAAAACCATATTGTTACCGATGCCACACAAAAGGACATACAATTGCTACTTGTACTACAGCTTTTTAGTTGCGAGATTTGTCTTGGTGATCATGTGAAAAAATATGTCCTAATTTGAAAATTTTGCAATCTACTCGCTATTCCTTGTGGCTATGCTTTGAGAAGGTCCGGGCTTCTATTTCATACACAGTGATTGATACTCCTAAAGTAACTTCATTGATACTTCCGTCATTGTGGTACGTGTGTTGGAGGGTTCCTTATCACGATCGGGTTAGCGGTGGAACTTGACAAGCTACTACCAGGACAAGTTGGGTCATTAATCTAAAGGGCACCGATGCTTTTACTACTAATTTCCCTTCTTCAAGTGCTAAATCACATGGTGAATTGGGGCCCGATGGATACTAAATCGTTGATTGCAAAAATCAGGTTTGAAAAGGGTGCTTTGATAATGATGTTTATAAATATGAGATTGAGAAAGTTTGGGTCCAATTCGGGGTATTCCTTTGGAGCTCGAGAGAATTTCCTATTATCCGGGCAATTGGTACTATTCTCGGTGTTCCTAAAGCAAAGGATACAAAATTCACAAAAAGCATGGTAGATGTAGATTGAAGGTAGCGATCTTTGGACCTCGATATTATCCCCAACTTTGTGGATGTTGTTATTGGGGACTTTGTTTATGAGCTATAGTTCAAGGTTGAGAGAGATTTGGTCGATGGTGAGCCTTATGTCATTGACATGGACTCTACCATGGACGAGGACAAAGACCCAGAAGAGGAAGACCCAGAGGATATGGATCATGATGGGAATAAATTAGGAGGTAATCAGGAGGAACAGGAAGAAAAGAAAAATAAAAATGATTCAGTAGCACCTAGTGAGCCACACGGCACTGGGGCTCCCACTGAACATTTAGAAAATGTTGAAGTTAAACAGGCTGAGGTAGTGACCACAGGAGGCTCGGCTAAGCCTGTGGTCGTATTATCACAAACTGGCTTTAATACAGATGGCACAGCACAATGGAAAGCAAGTGTTCTGCAAGACAAAAAAGAAGCAGGAATTATCAACAAGAAAAAGGGGTTGTGTGAGGGGACAGTGTCACCGGCAAGATCTAGCAAGAGGACTGCGTCTATTTCAGACCAAGACTCTTTGGAGAAAGCAACGGCGATGAAAGCGCGGCGGAACTTAGATACCACTTCATTTAAAGGTAAAGAGACGCAGCCCCTCTCTTTTAATTCCTTTGATAATTCTTTGTTACTGCAGTCAACTAGTTTAATAGGAGTTTCTTTAGGTTCTAATGATTTAGAAGTTTCTGCTTCTTTAAAAAAAATTAAAAGATTTGGAGGAAAGTAGGCTGGCAAAAAAGAAAGTGGTAGAAAATATTTCTCTTGAGGCGGATGATATTTCCTCTGTCTGTTCTTGGGATGATAGAATGGACTTAGAGGCCTTAAATATTATATGCGCGGGTATTTCTGAAGACTTAGGTGATGGGGGTTGCCGTTGAGTCTACAATCTCCCGTATCACATCCTAAAAAGTCTAAGTCTAAAGGTGCTAAAAATAAAAAGAAGAGTAAAAGTTGTTCAAAATGAAAGGAATTTTTTGGAATTGTAACGGTTTTGCGGATTCGAAAAAGTATAGGTTTTTATCTGATTTAACTAGAGAGAAGGATTTAGATTTCATTGCTTTATCTAAAACGGGAAGAGCCACTTTTCCGCAATCAACTTTGAATAATATCTGCGCGGGCAGAGATTTTCTTTGGCATTGCAAGGCTCCGAGAGGCCGTTCGGGTGGCATGATTCTTAGGATAAATCTTCTCACCTTTGATAATGGTCAGATAGATGAGGGAGATTTTTTTATAAAATTTAAGTTACGTCATAAGGAGGATGATTTTAAGTTTTTTCTTTTGTCGATTTATGGCCCAGCACAGTTGGAGCACAAATCTCTTTTCTTGTCAGAGTTGGTTAGAGTATGTTCGAATGAAACCTTACCCATTATTATGGGTGGTGATTTCAACATTATTCGAAGCCCAAGTGAGAAGAATAATGCAAATTATAGTGATAGGTGGCCTTTTTTGTTTAATGCGGTTATCGACTCTTTAAATTTAAGGGAGCTTGAATTAACAGGCCGGAAGTTTACTTGGGCAAATCATTTACATAACCAAACTTTCGAAAAGTTAGATAGAATTCTAGTTTGTACTGACTTTGAATCTAAGTATCCACTTACGACTGTTCATGCTTTAACCAGAGAGATTTCTGACCATACTCCTCTACTATGTAATACAAACAGCTCATCTCAGACTTACCAACATCAATTCAAGTTTGAATTGGGATGGTTGCTTAGGGATGGGTTTTGCGACATTGTGAGAGATGTATGGAATAGTGTAGTGGATACTGGCACACCAATTGAGAGGTGGCAAAATAAGATTAGAAGGCTTCGTCAGTACCTTAGAGGCTGGGCGAAAAATATAAGTGGCCACTATAAAAAGGAAAAAAAAGAACTCTTAGACAAATTAGACGAGCTAGATAAAAAGGCAGAAGGCTGTGCGCTTAATGAGACAGAAATAAATCTAAAGCATGTATTAAATGATAGGCTAGCTGAATTATTGAGAGAAGAGGAATTAAAGTGGTACCAAAGAGCAAAGGTTAGACACCTTCTTGAAGGAGATGCCAACACTAAATACTACCATCTGTTGGTCAATGGGAAACACTGGAAAACTCGTATTTTCCAACTGCACGACGGGGGATAATATAATAGAGGGTGATGCTCACCTAAAGGAGCATATCACCTCGTATTATAAAAACATGTTTGGCCCGCCGGATAACTCAGTGGTGGAATTAAATGAACATTATGTTCAGGATATCCCCCGAGTTTCGGAGGAGGAAAATGAGTATCTAACTGGTAATTTCTCAGAAGCCGAGGTTAGGGCAGCTATTTTTCAGATGGAACATAATAAAGCACCGGGTCCCAATGGTTTCCCGGCAGAGTTTTATCAGGTCTTCTGGGACCTAATTAAGTTGGACCTGATGTCATTGTTTAACGATTTTCAGGAAGGAAATTTACCTTTGCATAGTCTGAACTTTGGTAATATTATCTTGCTACCTAAAAAAAGCGATGCTAGGACTATTCAACAATACAGACCAATCTGTTTGTTGAATGT